TTTCTACAAGTCTAAAATGAATTAAAACAGAAAGTTGAAAAACTATAATTTCTTTATGACATTCAGTTTGTATCTTTTATTATTTTCTTACAGCAAAAAAAACAATACATGTTAAATACAGAGACTATTTTACATTCATATAAGCAAAAAGAAGAAAATGTAAATCCCCTTATCAACCAGCTAGAGATATCTGCTATAAATATCTAGATGTAAATTCATTGAGATGTGTGTGTGTATATGGATGTATAGCATGTATTAATTTCAATTACTGACTTTGCAAGGACAAAACGTCATAATTTTTTATTGAACTTAATTTGTCTTAAACCTTCAGTTTGCCTAAAGGGAGGTAACTTAATTTAGTCACTTCCAGGTAGTTAAGTCATTTTAAGACTTAAAGTCAATTAAGTTCAGGTTTCGAATTCAGTCTCCTTTCTCTAACCCTCTAGGGGGCTTATGTTTGGACTTCATTCATCTTCTGTGGCCACCCACTGCTGGTATAACTCATCCCACCTCATCTTTAGGCACCAGCCTTCTGCTTCTGCTTGCTAGAATTGTGATCCTGGAGACCCACCAGAGACTCCAGTAGGATTTGCAGGACGGCCTTTGGGCCCCTTAACAGAACCACCTCATTAGCCTTTATTCCTTTCCTGCCCTGGCACACTTCTGATCTCTGAGGCTTTCTCTAAGATCTGCAGAATCTTCTCTTTCTGACTTACTTCACTCTGCATGACAGACTCTAGGTCCATCCACCTCACTACAAATAACTCAATTTCGTTTCTTTTTATGGCTGAGTAATATTCCATTGTATACATGTGCCCACATCTTCTTTATCCATTCATCTGTTGATGGACACTTAGGTTGCTTCCATGTCCTGGCTATTGTAAATAGAGCTGCAATGAACACTGTGCTACATGACTCTTTTTGAATTATGGTTTCCTCAGGGTATATGCCCAGTAGTGGGATTGCTGGGTTGTATGGTAGTTCTATTTGTAACAAATACCGTATGCTAACACATATATATGGAATCTAAGAAAAAAAAAAAGTCATGAAGTACCTAGGGGTAAGACAGGAATAAAGACACAGACCTACTAGAGCATGGACTTGAGGATATGGGGAGGGGGAAGGGTAAGCTGGGACAAAGTGAGAGAGTGGCATGGACATATATACACTACCAAATGTAAAATAGATAGCTAGTGGGAAGCAGCTGCATAGCACAGGGAGATCAGCTCAGTGGTTTGTGACCACCTAGAGGGGTGGGATAGGGAGGGTGGGAGGAAGGGAGACGCGAGAGGGAAGAGATATGGGAACATATGTATATATATAACTGATTCACTTTGTTATAAAGCAGAAACTAACACACCACCGAAAAGCAATTATACTCCAATAAAGATGTTAAAAAAAAAAAAAAAGATCTGCAGAATCTTGAGGCTACTCTCTGGAAAATGAATCACAGTTTCCTTTTCTCGTAGGATCTCCAGGAACTTTGCTAAGCTACCATCCCTCGTTCTGTGGCAAGTGGCCCAGGCATTCCAGGCCCTTTCCCTAAGATTCACTTAGAGATTTTCTCTGAACTCTCCTACATCATTCCCAAAAATCCTCTTCCATTGAACTTTGTCTCTATCTCCTTTTGGGTGAATGAATTGAAAAAATAGCAGGTTCTTACAACATCATATATCCTTCCAGAATCTATTAGTTATGACATAAACTTCAAAGTTTTTGTATTGAAGCCAGAATTTTGGAAAGTCAGACTCTTAAGTTATTTTCTTTGCCAAGGGCTTCAAAATTCTAGTTTTGTTAACAAACTATTAAAGAACATTTTTTGAGACAATTGTGAAAATTGGACTATGAACTCGTTATTAGAAGACATCAAGGATTGATTATTAATTTTGTTGGATTTGAGAATGGCCTTATGGTTATGTATGTGAAGGCCATTATAGGCAGGGTGGGTTGGGAAGTGACAGGAGTGGGAAGTAGGAGACATTATAAAAAGCCATACATGCCATTCTTTTGTGTTTTTTAAATTTTTTAATTTAATTTTATTATCTTTTATTTTTTTGGCCATGCCGTGAGGCATGTGGGATCTTAGTTCCCCGACCAGGGATAGAACATGTGCCCCCTGCGGTGGAAGCATGGAGTCTTAACCACTGGACCGCCAGGGAAGTCCCCATGCCATTCTTTTTTTTTTTCTTTGTTTCTTACTTACTTTTTTTTTTTTTTTTAACATCTTTATTGGAGTATAATTGCTCTACAATGGTATGTTAGTTTCAGCTTCACAACAAAATGAATCAGTTATATATATACGTATATTCCCATATCTCTTCCCGCTTGCGTCTCCCTCCCTCCCACCCTCCCCATCCCACCTCTCCAGCCCATGCCATTCTTTTGATTGCATGCTCACAGCATCAAACAGGGGAATGACATGTTTAATTTGCATAAAGGGGGGTAGAGGATGAGAAAGCATGCTTATGACTAGTAGTTGGGTGGCTGGCTGGAGGAATTTTTTATTCCTTCCCCTCCCTCAGCTCCCATATCCAAATCCATCAGTAAACCCTTTTGGTCGTCTTAGCTTCATCACCTTCCCGTTCCAAGCTATCATCATCTCTTACCTGGACACAATCGTTTTCTAATTATCAACTAACCAGTTTCTCCATTTCTGTTCTTGTTCCCTATAATCCATTCTCACAGAGCTGACAGAGTGAATTTTTTAAAGCCTAATCTAGATTGTCATTCTCCTGCTTAAAACATCTAATGGATTTCTATTGCATTGAACATAAAATACAAACTCTACCACAGATCATAAATTTCTATGTAATCTGGCCCTTATCTTCCTCACTATCCTCTTTGTGACACTCTTCTCCTTACACATCAGTCCAACACACAAGCCACTGTACAGTTCCCATTCTCTTTTTTCCAGTTACAAATGTTTATTTTTCAGAAAATATTATCCCGTCTGAATTCGTAAGTGTTGTGACATTTTAATCAAACTAGTACAAATGGCACTTCTTTTTTAAAACTAAAAATAATAAAGAACAATTAAATGAAAGTATTCAAGTTTAAGTTCAGCTACTAGATCTGAGATGTAAAATAGTGACAATATGGACAAAAATGTTGACTTTAAATAACAAATTTTTACTTCATTCAATCCACATTCTTTAACCATGGGATAGTCATTATTCATAGGTTTCAAGTCTTGAAAGGGTCAGGTTTACCTGATAGGTATTGCCAGATTTGAAATTTATCTTTCAGTCTGACGAGCATAACTTCTTTATTAACTTTACACACAAAACATTTTCAATTTGGGCATTTTCTGGCATATTTTTCAAGAAATTATTTAGATCTGGCACATTCAAAATTGAACTATACTGCCATTTGCCTCATAATACTTCCAGAAGAAAGGAAAATAACTAAAATAGGGCTTCCCTGGTGGTGCAGTGGTTAAGAATCCACCTGCCAATGCAGGGAACACGGGTTCGAGCCCTGGTCTGGGAAGATCCCACACGCCGCGGAGCAACTAAGCCCATGCGCCCCAACTGCTGAGCCTGTGCTCTAGAGCCCGCGAACCACAACTACTGAAGCCCGCGCGCCTAGAGCCCGTGCTCCGCAACAAGAGAAGCCACCGCAATGAGAAGCCTGCAAACCGCAACGAAGAGTAGACCCTGCTCGCTGCAGCTAGAGAGAGCCTGCACGCAGCATCAAAGACCCAACGCAGCCAAAAATAAATAATTAATTTTAAAAATAACTAAAATAACTTGAAATGCCACTCCCTTCATCTTCCTTCTGTTTAGTGAGATGAAGTAATAAGTTGCTGAAAGTTTTATTTCTCATTCTACTGCAGCTTCATATTTACAGATCGAATAGTTTAAGATCGTGAACAAATGCCTCCTGAAAAACTGTTTCATTGACCATCTCTCTTACTCTGCTGCCGGAAGTGTGAAATGGACCACTCTTTGAAGGGCAAGGGTCAATACTAATCACTTTCTCAAATACATTTCCTCTTTAATCCTGAACATCTCTTGACAGTTAACACCTAGCCTTAAGCACAGGTCAGGGCCACCACCAGCTTCTTACCTCGGTGCTGTTGCTGCACCAGGTATTACACAAGGCTCCCAAGGCGTAGAGACCAGCCCTGCCAGCACCTTGGCTGGCAGCGGGACGAACTGGCCCACCCACTCAAAGCTGAATTCTCCTGTCTCCTCAGATTCTCAGAAGCCGTCCACGGAGCACTCGGGAGCGACCCCTACAGTTCCCCGAGGAAAACCAGCTTCTTCCCACCCTGCAGGGACAGCCACATGCCCTCAGGGGAGGCTGGGCCACTTCCAGCTGCCACCAACGAGGTTCTTGTGCTCTCATCACATTTTATGGCTTTCCTCTAGTAGAAATGAAAATTCCCCCCCCAAAAAAAAGGTGGGGGTGGTGGGAGAGGGGGAGAGGGAGAGATGGAGAGATGGAGGGGGAACGCCATAAATCTAAATTGCGATTAAGCTCTCTGTACCCGGTGTGGCTCATTGATTCGCTCGTGGGGCTTAAAATGCATATTTTGAGGGCAACTACCCGGATTCACCGCAGATAAACGAAGGAAAGGAGCTTACGCAGTGGAAGACACTACTACATGTCCCATAAGATAAAGGGAAAATTAGAGTCAGGATGGTGGTAGGACCTGAAGAATGGGGCCGAGGCTTAGGGCCTGAGGGAAACAGCGGAAAGGAGAGGCGTCGCCCTTTCATTGAGTCGGGGAATCAAACAGAAACGTGTACACCCCGTGCACTGCAGGCGGGCTCCTCGAACCGCGTGGCTTTCCCTCGCCCCTGCCTTGGGGGTGGGGAAGAACCCGGATGGAACCGCCCCTGCAGCCGGGACCCCCTCCTCCCGTCTTTGAATCGCTGCGCGGGGCGGAGTTGCTCACCCTTCTGTGCTCTGCTTGGTTGGTCTCCGTAGGCTCCTCCTCGGGATTGGACGTTCCGGGTGCCAGTCACAAAGCGTCGCTGGCTTCTCACATTGCTGCTGGAAGGAGACGGCGTCGACGTCTGGCTCGGTTCGCTGCGTCTTACCTTGCCGAAGCGCGCTCTTGCTTCGGCCCTCGGAACCTGTGCCAGGCTTTTCGGCCCCGGGGCCTGGAAGGAGGCTTATCCAGGCGGCTCGAGAACGAAACCGGGCGCCTAAGTACCTCTCGTCATCCACTCAGCGCCATGTCCTGGATGTTCAAGAGGTGAAGGGGGTGGAGGGGGTGGGGCGCCGAGGGTAACGGCGTGGCCGCGTCCCCAGATGAACCTGACCTTCCCCGCGTTTCCTTCGCGTTCCCCTTGCGAGCTGGGCAGCTGGCGTTCGTCCCGCTGGCGGCTCCTATAGCCGCGGGAGAAATAAATGCAGAGTTTCCGCGGGCGAGGGGAGGCTTCCTAGGCGAGTCTCTTGCCAGGGCCTTGGAGAAATCTCTGTCAAGGGCTGTACGGGGCCTGGGGCTCTAAGCTCCACTCCTTAGCCGGGGTCTCTTCTCGCCCTGTGCTTTATTCCACAAAACACCCATGAGATACCCACTGTGCGCCGGGCATTGTGCTCGGCCTAAAGGGCTGGGTAAGACAGCCCCTGTCCCCAAGCACCTCACAATTGATGTGTATGCACAGACGTGCAAATACATATCTGCAGAGGAGCCAAAAGCAGGACGCGTGACGTGCAAGTAAAACGCAGGGGAAATAGCTTCTCTCCGTTCTTAGCAAAGTAGAAGCTTCCTGGAAGTCTCCCAGCCGACTTCCTCTTACTTTTTGTCCAAATTGGTTTACATACCCGTTCCGGAAACAATTCTCCATCGGGGGGTTGAGGTTACCCTTAAACCAACGGGAGTCGGGGGCTTGAGGTCAGCTTCCCATGATGGCACCGTTAGGATACCTGAATAAAATAAGGGTTCTAGTCGAAGGGAATTAAAGTAGTTGTTGCTGGATGTATTATTTGTAAAGCTATAAATGGCTTCGTGTAAAAAAGTTCAGTGTTTTCAAGTCTCTTCTAGCTCAAGATGTATTGAAATTTTGGTGTATAATTAGTTACAGACATCACATATATTTCAGTTTAAGTAGGTGATGCAGACTAGGAAAGAGATTTGTGAACCCTTATTGGGGTTTTCACTTTGAATACCTCAGGGTAGAAGACACATTATTGAACAGGTAGGATTTCTAGAAACGTCCGCCACTCCAATTCTTGCTTTAACCAGAGGAACGCGATTAATCTTTATACAGCACTTACCACATAAGATTTAATCTGTTGAAGTAAAATGTGAGAAAACAATTGGCCTTTAAATATGGTATGGTCTTTGAGAAATATTTGGTTAAATATTGTATTGTTTTTCTGTGTGTGTGGTTTTTTTTTGTTTTTTTAATAGAGATCCTGTTTGGAAGTACTTGCAGACTGTCCAGTACGGAGTCCATGGAAATTTTCCACGCCTCTCATATCCAACTTTCTTTCCTCGTTTTGAATTCCAAGATATTATTCCTCCAGATGATTTCCTAACGAGCGATGAAGAGCTAGATTCAGTTTTATTTGGAACTTTGAGAGGTCATGTAGTTGGACTACGCTATTACACAGGAGTAGTGAGTATAACATTAGATATTAAGTTAAAGTGATATGATATGTTATTTACGTAGAAAATAAGGATTAGAAGGTGATATATGCAGTAAATATTTACTTTAAGTAATTGAAATATATCTGGGCGAGAGATAACAAATACCTAATTATTAATATACTTTATATCATGGTTATAATATACAAAGCATTGTTTCCTGTATGGTCTCATTTGATCATTACAGTGTCTCTGAGGTAGATAGGACATCTATTATCCCCTTATAGAAGTGAAGCTCAGGAAGGTTAAATGATTTGCTCAAAAAGCACAGATACTATGTGGTACATTTGCAAAATGACTTCCAAGTCAGTCCATTGCTTTCTCCTCTCCTGTCCCTTAGCACATTTCTACACTTTAATATTTTTAATTTAGGAAGATCAATTCATACCAGATAAGGGAATTGTCTATTTTTAGGTACTTTTTTTTCTTCCTTTATCTTTTTGTGTATCTATTTTCTGCATTGTGTGTGTGTGTGTGTGTGTGTGTGTGTGTGTGTGTGTGAGAGAGAGAGAGAGAGAGAGAGAGAGAGAAGAGAACAGAGACAAAGATAGGGAAAGCAGTTGTGTTTGTCATGGTTGTCTAGTATGCCTCTGTGTTATCTGGATGATACATCTCTAGCTTTATTTTTTTAATTATGAAAAATTTCAGACATGCATAAAAGAAGAATAATACAGTAAACTTCCATATACCCATGATTCAGATTCAGTAGTTAACAAGTTTTTTGCAGATTAGCTTCATCACTTTTTCTCTTTTTCTTGGGTATTAAATATTCCAGCTGTATCACTTTACAACATTTAAGTGTGTATCTCTAAAAAATTCAGGCATTTTCTTACATCGTTGTACTTAACGAAATTAATAATAATTTTCTATTACATCCTATAACTAATACATAATCAGTTTTCTTAATTGTTTAAAAATGCCTTTTTATTGTTAATTTGTTTGAATCAGGATCAAAACAAGTTAATAATAGTACCTTTGGTTGTTATGTAAGTCACTTCCCTGCTCTTTGTTTCATGTCATTGATTTATTGCAGAAACTGCATATATTGTTCTATGGAAAGTTGGATTTACCAGTTCTTCCATTCCCCAATATTTTTCTTACGGCGAAGCTTCTCAGATCATTTTTTGGTTGTCTGAAGTATATTTTGTGGGAGATTCCTTGGGAAAGAATTGTCTAGTGTTTTATTCTCTCATATTTTCTTTGTAATATTAGAGCTTCTCAGGTCATTTTATGGTTGTCTGAAGTGTGTTGTCTAGGAGATTCCTTAGGAAGGAACAATATTTCCTGAGTTTTGTTGTTTGTACTTGTGGTACTTATATGCTTCAAGGACAATTTGGTTGAATATAAAATCCTTGACCCATATTTTCTCTCCATAGTATCTTGGTGTTGTATAACATGTTGCTGGTTAAAATTCTGATGCCAATATGATTTCTCTCCCATGTAGATCAATTGGAATTATTTTGCTTGGATAACTAAAGGATATTTTTCTTTATCTTGAAAGTCCAAAAGTTTCATTAGGCAGTGTTGACTGTTCTGTGACTTCATTTTCGTCTATTTCAGAAAACTTTAATTATGGTTTTTTGTTTGTTTGTTTGTTTTTTGCGGTATGCAGGCCTCTCACTGTTGTGGCCTCTCCCGTTGCGGAGCACAGGCTCCGGACGCGCAGGCTCAGTGGCCATGGCTCACGGGCCCAGCCGCTCCGCGGCATGTGGGATCTTCCCGGACCGGGGCACGAACCCGTGTCCCCTGCATTGGCAGGTGGACTCTCAACCACTGCGCCACCAGGGAAGCCCTAATTATGGTTTTAAATGTTTGTTTTGTTTCAGAGCTTGTTTTTCTTCGAAGGACTCCATTCTGTTCTCTCGGTATTACATCTCCTCTGCGTATATGTATGCCATATGTAAATGCCTGTTCCTCTGAAATCCTTTTTATCATATTTTTTTACTTTTCTGTTTTTCATCATTTATTTCCCTTACCATGTTTTTTACAAGATCTGTTCACTTTTGTGTTCTTTCTACTTTATTCTTTACTTCTGAAATAGTTTTTCTTTTCTAATTTTTTCCTGAAATCTGTCAGTTCTCAGTTCATATATCCATCTGTTCTCTAGCTCTCATATTCATTTCGGAACTTTCCTATTTTGGATTTGTGAAATATTTTCAAAATGTAATGTGGTTTTTAAATCATTTTAAACCATTGTGAAATATTAGATCATGCTTGTTATTGATCTTAGAACTATCACTATTTGTTGATCTTAGAATAATTTCTGTGACACTGGTAAGCCAATACAAATGTGATGAGCTGATTAAAACTAATCGTTAATTTTTTTATTTTACAAAATGTATATTATTTATTTTATAAGTAATACACATTTATTATTTTAAAATGGCTAAAAGAAAAAGTATCAACTCTGCCTGAATCCAGAATTACAACTTATGTTGTTATGTCCTCCACGCTTTACTCTGAGAAAATATACATGTGACTTTAAATCATATTATATATTAATAAAAATGAGGATCAGGGCTTCCCTGGTGGCGCAGTGGTTGAGAGTCCGCCTGCCAATGCAGGGGACGCGGGTTCGAGCCCCAGTCCGGGAGGATCCCACATGCCGCGGAGTGGCTGGGCCCATGAGCCATGGCCGCTGAGCCTGTGCGTCTGGGGCCTGTGCTCTGCAGCGGGAGAGGCCACAGCAGTGAGAGGCCTGCGTACCGCAAAAAAAAAAAAAAAAAAAAAAAAAATAAGGATCATATTATGTCTACTATAGTAATCACCTTTTCTAAAGTAAAATATTAGGAATATCTTTTCATGTCAATACAGATCTTTATTGTACTTTTTCTTGTTGATGTTTTCGAGTTCATAACTGACAGAAATCTTGTAATAAAAATTGAGGTATTTATCTTTGCGTGCTTTTTTTATTTTCAACTTTTTTCTGCTTTATTGAGATGTGATTTATATATGTATATATTTGTAAATGCAAGCATTTGAAGTGTATGTTTCTAAGAGTTTTAACAAAGATATATACCTGATCATCACCACCCCATCAACATATAGATCATTTCCATTACCTCTGAAGTTCTCTTGTATTCTGTTGCAGTCCTTCATCCCTGCCTCTGCCTGAAGAACCACCAGACTGATTTCTATCACTGTAGTTTAGCTTATTCTAGAGCTTCATATACTTTTTCTTTTGGCTGCGCCACGCGGCATGCAGAAATGTGAGACCTTAGTTCCCTGACTAGGGATCGAACCCGTACCTTCTGTGGTGGAAGCACGGAGTCCTAAGCACTGGACTGCCAGGGAATTCCCTAGAGCTTCATATACATTGAATCATATAGTGTGTACTTTTTAAGTCTGGCTTCATTCAAACTCACCATAATTCAGATACGTCTTGAGTCAATTTTGGCAATTCATATTTTTAAAGAAAAGCAGCCATTTATATTTTCAAACTTATTGCCACGGAGTTTGCATAGTAGTCATATACATGTAAAACTGTTTTAACTGTGTTTACGGTTCTATTCCTCTTTTCATTGTTTGTGTTATGTATTTGTGTCTATTCTTATTTTTTATTCATTAGCCTTGATAGAGATTTATCTGTTTCATCTTTTCAAGTAATCTTTCTTGGATTTTTTTATGATTATCATTTCTTTTTTTTAAATTTTTAAATTTTTTTATACAGCAGGTTCTTATTAGTCATCAGTTTTATACACATCAGTGTATACTTGTCAATCCCAATCGCCCAATTCAGCACACTACCATCCCCACACCCCTGCGGCTTTCCCACCTTGGTGTCCATACGTTTGTTCTCTACATCTGTGTCTCAACTTCTGCCCTGTAAACCGGTTCATCTGTACCATTTTTCTAGGTTCCACATACATGTGTTAACATACAATATTTGTTTTTCTCATTCTGACTTACTTCACTCTGTATGACAGTCTCTAGATCCATCCACATCTCAAAAAATGACTCAGTTTTTTTCCTTTTTATGGCTGAGTAATATTCCATTGTATATATGTACCACATCTTCTTTATCCATTCGTCTGTCATTGGGCATTTAGGTTGCTTCCATGACCTGGCTATTGTAAATAGTGCTGCAATGAACATTGGGGTGCATGTGTCTTTCTGAATTATGGTTTTCTCTGGGTATATGCCCAGTAGTGGGATTGCTGGATCATATGGTAATTCTATTTTTACTTTTTAAGGAACCTCCATACTGTTCTCCATAGTGGCTGTGTCAATTTACATTTCCACCAGCAGTGCAAGAGGGTTCCCTTTTCTCCACACCCTCTCCAGCATTTGTTTGTAGATTTTCTTATGAAGCCCATTCTAACTGGTGTGAAGTGATACCTCATTGAAGTTTTGATTTGCATTTCTCTAATAATTAGTGATGTTGAGCAGCTTTTCCTGTGCTTCTTGGCCATGTGTATGTCTTCTTTGGAGAAATGTCTATTAAGGTCTTCTGCACATTTTTGGATTGGGTTGTTTGTTTCTTTAATATTGAGCTGCATGAGTTGTTTATACATTTTGGAGATTAAACCTTTGTCCGTAGATTCCTTTGCAAATATTTTCTCCCATTCTGAGGGTTGTCTTTTTGTCTTGTTTATGGTTTCCTTTGCTTTGCAAAAGCTTTTAAGTTTCATTAGGTCCCATTTGTTTATTTTTCTTTTTATTTCTATTACTCTAGGAGGTGGATCAAAAAAGATCTTGTTGTGATTTATGTCAAAGAGTGTTCTTCCTATGTGTTCCTCTAAGAGTTTTATAGTGTCCAGTCTTACATTTAGGTCTCTAACCCATTTTGACTTTATTTTTGTGTATGGTGTTAGGGAGTGTTCTAATTTCATTCTTTTACATGTAGCTGTGCAGTTTTCCCAGCACCACTTATTGAAGAGACTGTCTTTTCTCCATTGTATATCCTTGCCTCCTTTGTCATAGATTAGTTGACCATAGGTGCGTGGGTTTATCTCTGGGCTTTCTATCTTG